GTGTACCGTCAAATCAGATCTGACTGGTACAGGAGGATATTGCGCCTCCTTCTCCGGCAGAGCATCTGGTGGATTCGAACCGTGTTCCTCTGGGATTGCAGTGCAGCTTCTGGCCACTAGGCCACCAGAGCTCCCCAGCTCTTTAGTATCTTGAATTCTTCCTTGTGCTTTGGCTTCTCTATGCTCCAGTGCAATCTTCAGAGTCTCTTCTGACATAACTGATTATTTTTCTTTTGGAGGAGATTTCCAGACTTTTCTTCTAAGGCACCTCTGGGTATATCTGAACTGACAACCTTTGACGTTGCATCTAGGTTGTTTGCATCACTGGTGAACTCTGTGGCACATTATGAGACTGGCTTAAGAAAGGGCAGGCTTCACAGCTGCTATACATAGGGTTGCTATGGGTTAAAGGAGAATCAACAGCACATAACAAAAGCAACAACAATATAATCGAGAGTCTTTAAGGTGTGATGTTGGAGAATCGTACTGAATATCCCAGAGACTGCTGAAAGAACAAATAGGTATTTGATATATCTTGGAGAAAGTGTAACCAGAGTACTCCCTAGAGGCAAGGTTAGTGAAGCTTCATCTGACATTGGGCATGTTGTTAGGAGAGGCAGGCTATTTCTTGGGAAGAGACAACATGCTTGGAAAGGTAGAGGGTCAGCAAAAGAGAAGAAGACCCTCAATGAGATGGATTGATATAGTGACTGTAGCAATTGGCTCAAGTGTGTCAGGGATGATGAGAATGGTGCAGGACAGGCTAGAGTTCAGAACTGTTGTTCATAGAGTCACTATGAGTCAGTCATACATGACTCAATGGCACCTAATAACAACATGTATGTTTTTAAAATGAGCACAAATAAAGTCAGTAGGGTATTGTTTGTAGAAATAGGGTATATCTCCAGGGCCCTATTTAAAAATTCTGGTAATGTGTTACTGGGTATTTTCTCAACATGGCTTTCAATGTGAAAACTACAGTGAAAGGTTGAATTTTTCACTCTTTGATGTGCCTTTCTTTGAAAATGGTATGTAACTGTCAAAAAAAATGTTGGCACATTCTTTTTATTATTAAAAAAGAATTGTATGGATCTACTTTGTATTTCATTTTAATATAAATACTTTGCTTTAGAATGTGAAGACAACTGCTGTATGAAAGAAATAAAATCTTCAATAAGAGACTTACTTTTCAATGACATTGGGATAACTTTCATTTTTTTCTCCATCAGATCGTCAATTGGTTCTCACTGTTTCAAAATAATTAACTCCGAGTTCCTGGTGCTGGATCAGTTTAGTAACAGATCTTACTCATTTCAGCTCAGCTGCTTCTGCTTCTCACTATTTAAAAATTACATATTTAATCAGTTTGTCTGATTGATAACACTGAACATAAGTAAAATCAAATACGTTTGTTACATAACCATGGTGAATGCAACAATAACTAAATTTTTTGTGGTAATTTCCTTTTTTCTAGCCCTTCAAAAAGAATCACAATTAGAGACATTTTATCTTCATTATTAGATATGTTTACACACACTAGATATAAACAGGCATTTCTTCAGAGGAAATACCAAATACAATTGATAAAAAGAAAACTATTTTTTAATAAACTGAATGGTTTCATCTAGATGGTTTGAAATTTCTTACTTCAAACACTTGATCTTCCAAAAAGAGATAATAGGAGGGGGGTGAATGTTAAATGGGGTGTGAATGTGTTGAGTTGTTCTAACCACTTGCTGACATAGACCTCTGCCACACCATCTTGTGGAAGACATTTAAAGGAACTGCACTGAACACTTTTTTTTTTGCCTGTGCTTTAATTTCTCCTTGTCCATCTTGGATCCATAGGCTGACCATTTTAGCAGGCGTGGCAAGACCCTTCCTCAACAAGAGTCCTTTGAGATTGAGTTGGCTGAAGAGAAGCCAGTTAAACGCTCCATTATAACTGTGGAGGATCTGACAGAGATAGAGCGTTTAGAAGACCTGGATACTTGTATGGTAAGACACATCCTATGTTAATATCTATCAGCCCATATGTTTGACTCTATTGCTATTGTTTTAACATCTCATCTTTATAAACGAGACCATAGAGAACTTTCTCCTAGAGGCAGATAGTTCAGAAATATATTACCTCAGAGGCTGTGAATAAAACCAAGCTTCAGGTCTCACAGGCCTTGAGCAGGCCCCTTTCAAAGAGCTATCCTGAACTTTTATTTGTAATTTTTTGTTGTTGTTGTTCCTTTTCTTAAGTAGATCCTCCTGTGTATGGGAGGAAGGAAGAAAAAAAGAAAGTTCTACTAGTAGAAAATCTGGATCTTTCTTCCTAGTCATAACAGAAAAAAATTCCTAAACAAATGAAGACTTAGATTATTTCCGTTTTCAAGGTCATTTATGACAAGAAAATATCTTTAAACAAAATAGTAGTGGTTAAAATTATGTCGGGAATAATACATTTTAAAACATACTAGCCAGGATGACCATCTTTACCTCGGGCCTATTGGTTGTTTCCATCTTGTTGCTTAGGTTTTCTTCACATAATTGTTCTACTTGTACTCTTTAAAGTTTGCTTATTCTGTATACTTCAGATTTTGTTCCAGTCAGAATGGAATTCTGATGTGATTTCAAAGATAGAAGAAACAGTATAGTGTTTACCTAGCAGTAGACTGTGATTCTTTAGCCATTTTCTAAACCTCATGGTGCATCCATCAGCCATATTATTAGAGCATTCAGGTTGTTGATATTTTTCTCTCTAAGGAAATTTTATTTCAGTCCTTGCCTTATTATTATAAAAGTTATGTTATTATTTTAGCTACTTCTCACTTTACCATTATGAATAGTTCTGTGTGGCTATTCTATCCTCTATATTAATATATTTATGGCTTACTAAGACATTAATTTTAGAAATTCCTTATAATCTCACAGGACAGTAGTAAATCTAGATTTGGACTGCAATTGCCCAAATGCTTCTATATCAGCTTCTAGTTTTAGTAATCTTTAGATGCAGCTCTTTTTGAATAGTATTTGTTTTAACCAGATTTGTACTTATTTTCAGCTTTCAAAATGAGGGCAAAGTATTTGATGTGGCATATATATATATATATATATAATCTTGAAAAAGAATGTATTTCTTTGCATAGTTTTATTTAGAAACCATTCTTAACATTTTCAAAATCTGTGAATAAAAAAAAAAATTTTAAAAAAAAAATCTGTGAATACAGTAATGGAGTGCCCACCAGACAAGACTCTGTCACACATGAGGAGTATAGTAAAGAAGACATTAGATATAATCCACAATTACAAGCATCATTGTAACATAACTAGATAAAAATGCCATATAATTTTCTATATAAACCTATAGACATGTATTGTCTTAACTAGTAAGGTGTTAAATGTATGTCTGATTAATATTTTGGTTTTTGTTTGCATGTTGAGAGAGAATTCAGTATGGTTTTACCATTAGATGATCATTCTAGAAACCCTTAGTCTAGGTGTAAAAGAAATAATAAGAGATATATTTGAATGAAAAAGTTTCTCCACAAATCATATTTGCTGCCATGTTTGAAAGGAATGAAAAAATGTGAGTTAGTAAAATGTTAGCTTTTTATGCCATTTGTCTGAGATGAGGAAATGTTGACTGTGAAAGACTGATTCACCTCCTGAAAAGTTGGACAATGGCTAAGGATGATAGAAGGAGTATTGAGGCTTTTAAGCTATGGTGCTGGAGAATGGTATTGAATATGCTGTGGACTGCTGGGAGAACAAGTTCATGCTAGAGAGGGAGAAACCTGGCTGCTCCTTGGAGGCGAGTATTCTGAAGCTCTGTCTGACATACTTTGGACATGTTGGAAGGAGAGACCAGTCCTTGAAGGAGGACATCACTGGGAGTGGGAGGAACAATGTAAGAGAGGAAGACCCTTGATGAGATGGATTGATTCAGTGACTGGGGTAATGGGGGTAGTAGGTATATCAGAGAATAAGATTGGCACAGGATAGAGCAGGATTTAGGCCTATTGTATATAGGGTCACTATGAGTCACAGGCAACTCAATGGCAGGTATCAACAACAACAATGATGGTTTTAAATGTTCAGAGTAGTTTTTGTTTGATTGATTTGATTTGGAAGAAAGAGGGGCATTTACTTCAATGAAGTATCAAGGAAGATTATTTTTAAAAAACACCCAGACTGAGGACCAACATCAGAACTCAAGGAAAATCATGAAACATGAACACTCAGAACATAATAGCATATATATATATATAGAGAGAGAGAGAGAGAGAGAGAGAAAGTTGCTGTGTTGCTTAAAGATGCAGAAGTCCAAGTAGAACTGTTCTCATAGGGCCATCCAAGATAGAAAGTGTGACTATTTCTGGTTAAGGAGGCCTAAGAAGCAAATAATTTGAGCCATTAGTGGTTGAGCACCTTGTGAATCAGAGGAACAAGGCCTCGGGGTTGAATAAATGAGTGGAAAAGAAATGTAAAACAAAACTCTCTAAACAAACAAATACATGGACAGAATTTTTAAATCATGGAAATAATATTTTGTTATTCTAACAGATTTTGTCTTTAGTCATTGTTCTGACTGAGCTGATAAGTTGTTAATAGTTGAAAACCAAAGTCAAGACTATCTTTACTGTGAGATTAAGGGAAAGGAATGTTTTTATGTCAAAAGCACAACTCAATGGATTTTGTGTTGTCCCAAAACTTCTGTGTAGTATAAATAGTTAAGTGTTCAACTACTAGTCACAAGTTTAGTGGTTTGAATCCTCCTAGATAGCCTTGAACAATAAATTATTTGTTTCCAGAAGTCACAACTTTGAAAATACTACAGGGCCACATTTCTATCTATACACACAGCGTCACCATAAGCTTGAATCGACTTGATGACAACTAACAAAAACAGTAATACCCTAAGTCATGAGTGGAAACTCTGCTCATTTAGAAGGAGTAGAGTATCAGACTGACTTTTAAAATTACCTGTGCAGCTACTTTCTGTAATCAAAATGTCATTTGTTTTTGTTATTGTTAAGTAACAGTGAATCAGAACCAACGCAAAGTGACCCTCTTGCTCTTTAACAAATGACTATTTGTTTCTCAAAGATATCTACTACAAAGTATATCTGGTATGATTCTCACAGGGTGTCTTTTTTTTTTTACGTTAGAAATGGATGTTTTAAAAATGAATAATTTTAAGTTTGAAATGCATATATATAAAATTTTGGTTTTTTATTAATTTTACACTAGTTTATTTGCAAAATTTGAATATATTGTTTTAGAAACCAGATTCTTTCCATTTTCCTCACCCCCACCATCAAATTATACAACCCCATGATTAATCCCCTCTCCCCCTGCACATCCTCATCTCTTTGCTTCACCCTCTCTCACCCCTCTTGAATCCTTATTCTACAATAATGGTTTTATAAAATATTTATGCTTGTGAGACTGAGTTAGTTCACTCAGTATAAAGCTTTCCAGTCCCTCCCAAGTTAGGTAATAATTTACAAAATCATTGCTCCTGTGTGCTACATAGTATTCCATTGTGTGAATGTACCATAATTTCTCAATCCATTGGTTGGACATTTGGGCAGTTACCATGTCCTTGTGATGGTGAATAATGCTGCTATGAACATTAGTGTGCAAATCTCGTTTTCTGCCTCAATTGTCATATTCTCAGGGTATATTCCAAGTAGTGGAATAGCTGGGTCATATGGAATTTCTATGTTCAGTTTTTTGAGAAAGTGCCACACTGCCTTCCAGAATGGTTGTACCATTTTACAATTCCACCAGCAATGTATAAGAGTTCCCTTTTTCACCACATCCTCTCCAACATTTATTATTTGCTGCCCTGTTAAACTTTGCCACTGTTACTGGAGTGAGATGGTACCTCATTGTGGTGTTTATTTGCATCTCTCTTATTGCCAGTGACTTGGAGCATTTCTTCATGTATCTGTTTGCCATTCAGTTATCTGCCTCTGTAAAATTCTTTCCATGTCTTTATCCCATTTTGTAATTGGGTTATCAGTCTTTTTCTTGTGGAGCCCCAGAAGTATTCTGTAATCTTTTTTTTAATGGGTTTTTTTTTATTATTATTTTTCATTTCAATGAACATCTACATAGATTTTGGAATTCCATTCATTCATTGTTGC